CGGAGGGCGAAGTTGCTTGGCCGCAGCAAGGATTTGACACCAGTCTGAACTCGATACGGTCTCATACCAAGATTTCGAGCTCATTTCCTCATCGCCATGATTTTCCTTGCTCCTAGCCAGCAACTCACACCCAACCGAGGTCGACTCTCGGCTTCGAAATTTTTGACAGTCACTTCCACGGAGGGCGAAGTCTGTCTCTTATACACATCTAGATGTGTATAAGAGACAGCCACCAGCCGTTAGGCATTGGTCTAATAAGTGCTTCCGTCGGTATGCACACAAAAATGCACACACCTCGGGATATGAGTTGCATGTATTAGCTCTGGAATTACCACGGTTATCCAAGTATACCGTGAGGACGGACCCATTTGGACCTGTCTCTTATACACATCTAGATGTGTATAAGAGACAGACCCTCCTCCTTGTACCCCTCTAACGCCCCTACCAACGCACTACCCTCCTCCTTGTACCCCTCTAACGCCCCTACCAACGCACTACCCTCCTACTTATACCTCTCCAACGCCCCTACCAACACACTTCCCTCTAACGCCCCGTGCTCCGCAGGCTGGTGGTGGAGGAGGAGCCCCTGCCCTCAGGCTGGGAGATGCGTCTCACCGAGGACGGCCGCCCTTACTTTGTCGACCACAGCACTCGCACAACCACCTTCACCGACCCCAGGGGCGGTGCCCACAGGTGAAGGCATTACCTTGTCGTTGTTGTTCGTTGCGTCGAAATTCAGGCACGCAGAAGGTGCGTCCGTGGAAGGAGGAAGGTGGGACATATGATGGGAGCTTGGCTAGGAATGCTGCAGCCTGAAAGAGCTGTCCCTCTGAGAGGAGACGGGGAGGTCTGTGGGAAAAGACGGGCAGGAGAGGATGTGTTCTGTGAGGTGGAGAGAACCCATATAGGGAGCGGCCTTTAGGGAGCGGCCCATAGGAACGGCCTTTAGGGAGCGTCCGGCCCTGAATGTATAGGTAGCAGAGCGGTAAGGGCGAGTAAGCTAAGCTTTTTCAGGGGCCCTGGGGTTAGGTGGGGCGGCCAGAACCCTTTTTTTCTCAGCGGTTACTGCGGTGTGGGAGGCGATCGTCCTGCGAAGGGTGGACCTGGCCTCGCTATAGGTGCCCGCTAGCAGGCAGCCGTCAACCATTGCGCGGGCCACGAGTTGACCGAAACGAAACTACAAGGACTCCTTCATGAGTCTTTCCACAGGAAGGGCGGAGACGAGCATTGAAAAAAGGATAGTGTCTGAAGGATACTCGCTAGAAGCTGCAAGCCACCTAGCTCCCTGTGGGTGGCCTAGAGATGGACCCTTGTTTCAGTGTGCAGGTGGTCAATGTCGTCATTTTAGGCAGCTGGGGGCGAGCATTAAGGCAAAGTTCTGTATGACCTTGGCTTGCGACAGCGGAGCGAGAGGCAGGAGGATACCAAACTAGGGCAACGTAGTTAAGGATGGGTCAGGTGATGAATTTATATAGCCATGATTAGAGAGAAAGAGGATTTATAGGTAGACACTTCCTTAGAGGAACCCCCAGCTGGTGCCGGCCAGGGCCTTCAGAATGCATAGGTTGCTGGCTGCTTTTTAGACGATTTTATTAACGTGAGGGAGAAGTTGGTGTCCCAAGTGACTGCGAGGATTTTTGATGTCATGTCCAGTGGCATGTGGCTGTTGCCGATTAAGGCGATGGGGTAAACTCAAGAACTCGGGAGTGAAAAGTGAGGCCGAAGACTTTAATGGGGCTCTAGCCTGTCTTTTGGCGGCTTACCAGTCGTAAATGCCGGACAGTAACACTGCTTGGTCCGCCTCAATACAAATGCCGGACAGTAACACTGCTTGGTCCGCCTCAATACAAATGCCGGACAGTAACACTGCTTGGTCCGCCTTAGTGATTTGTAGTCTCGGGCAGATCGAAATTTAGCAGCCGGAGATGAAGTGATTGAAGAGGGCATGAGAGATGACGGACTCTTGGGGAACTCCCGTCTAAATGTTACTGGAAAGAAATTGTTTATATGCGTACAATTTATGACCAGAGAATGCATTATAATATTCAAGGAGTCGAACAATATAATGTTCTGTCCCTTATAATGCATTCCTTGGTCACAAATTGTACGCATATAAACAAGAAAATTCTGCCAACTTATAATATAAAGGGATTGTGTGCATAAATACAGCAGTGTCATAGGGGATTGTTTCTCCTGTTGACACTGCTGTTGACATTACTGCTGTTGACACTGCTGTTGACATTACTCCTGTTGACACTGCTGTTGACATTACTCCTGTTGACACTGCTGTTGACATTACTGCCGTTGACAGCGTGGCACGCGGGCCGTACGGCGCTGCCATCTCCTACGAGCGATCCTTCCGCTGGAAACTCGGCCAATTCCGCTACCTCTGCCACAGGTAATGATTATTAATTATTATTATTATTGGTAGTGATATAGGTTCTATTTAATTACCTTATAGGCAGTAATTAACGAGCTGTAATATGCTTGTGCCTCAGGTAATAATACTTTATATAATTACCTTGATATGTGCGCTAATTATTGAGTTGTATTTTAGCTCTGCTCTATATAATTGATATGCATACCTAGCACAATAACTGTCTGTGCCTAAATGTTCTTTTATTAATGGAAAGCTCACTCCATATTCATACATGTAATTTAGTGATAATACCTGTAATTTAGTGATAATACATGTAATTTAGTGATAATACATGTAATTTAGTGACAATACCTGTAACTTAGTGATAATACCTGTAACTTAGTGATAATACCTGTAACTTAGTGATAATACCTGTAACTTAGTGATAATACCTGTAACTTAGTGATTGGAAGCTCACGAATTTGAATGTAAAGCTCACTCGTCGGTTCGTTGAGGGCATTATACTGTGGCTCTCACGCACGCACGACTTGCACGCACTGTCAACCCGTGCATTAACGACCTTTCTTGATCATTTGTGATCAAGTTCACGGTGTAGAATCAAACTTGCTTAAATACACAATAAGAGTACCTATGATATTATGTTAAAATATCGATTAACAAAGTAATAAAATATGTATAATATGTTACAGCAATGCAGTAACAGGCCACATCAAGATCACGGTGTATAATCAAACTCGTTTAAAATAACAACGAAAGTGTGATATATTAAAATGTTATTAACAAAGTAATAAAACATGTACAATTTGTGCAGCAACGCAGTGACAGGCCACATCAAGATCACGGTAGCGCGGCCCACGATGTTCGAGGACAGCTACCATCAGGTGATGCGGTTACCTGCTTACGAACTCAGACGCAAGCTCTTCATCATCTTCAGGGGCGAGGAGGGGCTCGACTATGGCGGCGTGGCGAGGTTAGTGCAGTGTGGCGAGACTAGGGTGTGACCAGATATGAAAGTGTGGTGTGACTGGGCTATAATGTGGCGAGGTTAGTTGTGTGCGTGGTGGTGCCATGCCTATGTACGTTTCCATCGATAACGCCATATGTGCAGGGAGTGGTTCTTCCAGCTGAGCCACGAGGTTCTCAACCCTATGTACTGCCTCTTCAATAACGCCATATGTGCAGGGAGTGGTTCTTCCAGCTGAGCCACGAGGTTCTCAACCCCATGTACTGCCTCTTCAATAACGCCATATGTGCAGGGAGTGGTTCTTCCAGCTGAGCCACGAGGTTCTCAACCCTATGTACTGCCTCTTCGAGTACGCCAACAAAAGCAACTATTCGCTGCAGATCAACCCTGCCTCGGAAGTCAACCCTGACCATCTTGCGTACTTCAAGTTCATCGGACGCTTTATTGCCATGGTGGGAAATTCTATATTCTTGTTTTTTTTATAATATTTTAGTTAGTATTTTTTTTTTGTTGTCTTTTAGTTGCGATTTTCTTACTTTTTTATTATATTTTAGTCACCATTTTTTTTCATTTTAGTTGCAATTTTCTTACTTTTTTATTGTATTTTAGTCGGGATTTTTTTTTTGGTTTCTTTAGTTGGGATGTGGAAGAAGTTTTATTGTAGAGCTCAGCATTCACTGTATCAGGCAGAAGTGTGTTGGGTTAATTTCAAGATAATTATATTAATCGAACGTAAATAAGATGTGTGTAGATGCCTCATCAATTTTGTTACGCTAAAGCTGTTAAGTTAATCACAGTTGTATTCATGACATTAACGCGTCAACCGATGATAGGTATCTCTTGAGAGATGCATTAGGCGCATTTGCAAGCCATCTTTCATGTACAAATATATTTTTCATAATAAATAGATTTTCAGGTTTTTTGCACACATTTTTTTTTTCAAGATGTCAACAATGGTTTAAGTATTCTTTATTCATTCAATATGTTATGATCTTTTTGTAATCAATAACGCTTTAAAGCTCATCTGTTATAATTAATTGAATATACATGTAATATATATAATTGATTAATTGACAAGACACACGCTTTATTAGAAGCGTGGTCACGCGCATGCGTTGATCAACAAAAGTTCTTTACCCATCCCTTCTCTTCTACATTTGCTTTACGTGAACATTAAAAATATGTCCGACATTGGATTATATTGGCTGGTTATACAAAGCTTGTGCCTCATTTGAACAGTACACAATTGATCGACTAATTCCTTCACACCTTAATAGACCAACATTTACTGAATGTTTGCTGTGACAGGCGCTGTACCACAAAATGTTACTGATATTACATTATTATATTGGCTGGTTATACAGAACTTGTGCTTCATTTGAACAGTACCTACACAATTGATCGATTAATTCCGTCACACCTTAACACGTTGACTACGATTGCTTCATCTTGTACTATTATTTCATTTTTTGTACTTTTTTTAAGCAGGGTTGCCAGACGGTCATTTTTTCCGGATAAATTCCGTGATTTAGTTTTTCTCAATTGCGTTGGCTGGCTAAAATTTATGATAGGGGTACTTCCTAATTAAATTTTAAATACTGCAAAAAGAAAATAAATAGAATTTTTATAGCGGAACCTACAAATAAACTAGTATACATTGAGTTATCGGCCTTTTTGGCCGTTTTTGTTCTCGGATTTGGCCGATTTTAGGCAACCTGAATTATGTACCACTACCTCCTGGAGAAATACATTTCGTGGTACGCATATGTACCAATACGTAGTCAACGTGTCAATAGACCGACATTTACTGAATGTTTGCTGTGACAGGCGCTGTATCACGGCAAGTTCATCTACTCAGGCTTCACGATGCCCTTCTACAAGCGCATGCTGAGCAAGAAACTTACCATGAAGGATCTCGAGTCCATTGATCCTGAGTTCTACAGCTCTCTGTGCTGGGTGCGCGACAACAACATCGAGGTAAACCTCCCTACAAACTACCACTCATTATTATTAGTTAAACCTAATTATTAGACAACATCGAGGTAAACCCACTACCAAACTACCACTCATTATTATTAATAATTAAACATAATTATTAGACAACATCGAGGTAAACCTGCCTGCCAAACTACCACTCATTATTATTAGTTAAACCTAATTATTAGACAACATCGAGGTAAACCTCCTGCCAAACTACCATTCATCATTATTAGTTGAAAATAATTATTAGCAACAACGTCGAGGTGAGATATACCACTTGTCAAACTGCCACTCATGTTTAGTGACAACATCGAGGTGAGATATACCTCCGCACTAAAGTTAAGTCACAAAAGTTATAATAGTAGATTAAATTAAAGGTGTCCATATTAGTTATGCATCCATTTTATTAAATCAATATATTCCCAATGCAAACAAATATAAGTATTCTGTTATTCACAAGAGCATAAATCTGAAAATTGTATAATGAGGAGTCAGGTCACCCAAGAAGCCGAAATGCAATTTGAACGTAACCTAAGAATTAGGATGTGACACGAAACAATAATGTCACCCATCCTTAGTTAAACTCCTGTTAATTTTTTGAATGTAAGATTCTAACCAAAAACTACATTTTGTTGTGCGATACTCGAATTTTCTTCCTCATTACTCCAATTTTTTCTTCATACCTGACACGTGATCATTACATGACACTAGTTTTTTTCAATTCCCCGACGCGTGATCGTGACTTGACCTTACTTTTTTCAACAGGAATGTGACCTGGAAATGTTCTTCTGCACGAACTTCGAGGTGCTCGGCAAGATAACTGAAGTGGAGCTGAAGCCTGACGGCAAAGAAATACAAGTCACGGAGGAGAACAAGGAGGAGTACATCAACCTGATGATGCAGGTGCCTTACAGCTGCTAGACCATATCAACCTGATGATGCAGGTGCCTTACAGCTGCTAGACCATATCAACCTGATGATGCAGGTGCCTTACAGCTGCTAGACCATATCAACCTGATGATGCAGGTGCCTTACAGCTGCTAGACCATATCAACCTGATGATGCAGGTGCCTTACAGCTGCTAGACCATATCAACCTGATGATGCAGGTGCCTTACAGCTGCTAGACCATATCAACCTGATGATGCAGGTGCCTTACAGCTGCTAGACCATATCAACCTGATGATGCAGGTGCCTTACAGCTGCTAGACCATATCAACCTGATGATGCAGGTGCCTTACAGCTGCTAGACCATATCAACCTGATGATGCAGGTGCCTTACAGCTGCTAGACCATATCAACCTGATGATGCAGGTGCCTTACAGCTGCTAGACCATATCAACCTGATGATGCAGGTGCCTTACAGCTGCTAGACCATATCAACCTGATGATGCAGGTGCCTTACAGCTGCTAGACCATATCAACCTGATGATGCAGGTGCCTTACAGCTGCTAGACCATATCAACCTGATGATGCAGGTGCCTTACAGCTGCTAGACCATATCAACCTGATGATGCAGGTGCCTTACAGCTGCTAGACCATATCAACCTGATGATGCAGGTGCCTTACAGCTGCTAGACCATATCAACCTGATGATGCAGGTGCCTTACAGCTGCTAGACCATATCAACCTGATGATGCAGGTGCCTTACAGCTGCTAGACCATATCAACCTGATGATGCAGGTGCCTTACAGCTGCTAGACCATATCAACCTGATGATGCAGGTGCCTTACAGCTGCTAGACCATATCAACCTGATGATGCAGGTGCCTTACAGCTGCTAGACCATATCAACCTGATGATGCAGGTGCCTTACAGCTGCTAGACCATATCAACCTGATGATGCAGGTGCCTTACAGCTGCTAGACCATATCAACCTGATGATGCAGGTGCCTTACAGCTGCTAGACCATATCAACCTGATGATGCAGGTGCCTTACAGCTGCTAGACCATATCAACCTGATGATGCAGGTGCCTTACAGCTGCTAGACCATATCAACCTGATGANATATCAACGACTGGCAGAAACATACCACATACCGCAACTACAACAAGAATAGCAAGATAATTGCCTGGTTCTGGCAGGTTAGTTATATCAACGACTGGCAGAAACATACCACATACCGCAACTACAACAAGAATAGCAAGATAATTGCCTGGTTCTGGCAGGTTAGTTACTACATTGCGTGGTTCTGGCAGGTTAGTTACAACATTGCCTGGTTCTGGCAGGTTAGTTACAACATTGCGTGGTTCTGGCAGGTTAGTTACAACATTGCGTGGTTCTGGCAGGTTAGTTACAACATTGCGTGGTTCTGGCAGGTTAGTTACAACATTGTGTGGTTCTGGCAGGTTAATTACAACATTGCCTGGTTCTGGCAGGTTAGTTACAACATTGCATGGTTCTGGTAGGTTAGTTACAGCATTAGTGCTTGATTGCATTACTGTGTTCACAGTGTAACATGCTGCGTGTAACATGCTTCGTGTTGACAGTGCTGCGTGTAACATGCTTCGTGTTGACAGTGCTGCGTGTAACATGCTTCGTGTTGACAGTGCTGCGTGTAACATGCTTCGTGTTGACAGTGCTGCGTGTAACATGCTTCGTGTTGACAGTGCTGCGTGTAACATGCTTCGTGTTGACAGTGCTGCGTGTAACATGCTTCGTGTTGACAGTGCTGCGTGTAACATGCTTCGTGTTGACAGTGCTGCGTGTAACATGCTTCGTGTTGACAGTGCTGCGTGTAACATGCTTCGTGTTGACAGTGCTGCGTGTAACATGCTTCGTGTTGACAGTGCTGCGTGTAACATGCTTCGTGTTGACAGTGCTGCGTGTAACATGCTTCGTGTTGACAGTGCTGCGTGTAACATGCTTCGTGTTGACAGTGCTGCGTGTAACATGCTTCGTGTTGACAGTGCTGCGTGTAACATGCTTCGTGTTGACAGTGCTGCGTGTAACATGCTTCGTGTTGACAGTGCTGCGTGTAACATGCTTCGTGTTGACAGTGCTGCGTGTAACATGCTTCGTGTTGACAGTGCTGCGTGTAACATGCTTCGTGTTGACAGTGCTGCGTGTAACATGCTTCGTGTTGACAGTGCTGCGTGTAACATGCTTCGTGTTGACAGTGCTGCGTGTAACATGCTTCGTGTTGACAGTGCTGCGTGTAACATGCTTCGTTTTGACAGTGCTGCGTGTAACATGCTTCGTGTTGACAGTGCTGCGTGTAACATGCTTCGTGTTGACAGTGCTGCGTGTAACATGCTTCGTGTTGACAGTTCGTGCGTGAGATCGACAACGAACGCAGGGCTCGGCTGCTGCAGTTCGTGACGGGGACCTGCCGTGTGCCGGTGGGGGGCTTCTCCGAGCTCATGGGTGAGTCAATGTCATGTTAAGATAACAGAAAACTAGTTATTACAATTCTGAACTTGTTTATTATCTAAAAAAATCTAGTTAATACTCTTGAGAACTTGTTTTTTATCTTAAAAAACTAGTTAATACAACAGAGAACTTATTTATTATCTAAATAACTTGTTGATGCACTAAAAATCTTTTTAACACACTAGAAAAAATTACATATTTTCTGTATCCTGATCAAGGTGGAATTCTACACATAAACTATCCGATAATAAAAGAAAACTGTTAACTTAATAAAAAATAGTGTTTGCTTCTCTGTGCAACGTGAAATTCTACATAACATCAGATTCAGAAACAATTGTATCCCATTTTTTTTCTTTTGTGTAAATGGAAACTTGGCCAACGAAGTTGTTGGGCTGTTCAAAGCATAAGTTTCAATAGGTTGGGAATGCACTCTACTATTACTCTGGTCTCATGAAGTGTTAATGATCCACATCTTTCTTTATCACTCTAATATACGAAGATCATTTTCATCCATACATAGTATATATGATCAAATATCATGTACCTACACCGCACATGTACAGACTGTCACCACCGTGATGTTTAAGTATTATCTAGATCCCGTTACTGTTGTAGGGTAACAGATCCGTTTAACCTCTTTCTTCTTTTGTATTAATTTCCATTTAACAGCTGAAAACTCCGCATTTTTCACATTTCATTATAATTCGATTTTCTGTTCAATAATTCTTTCCCCTCCTTCCCCAAAAGTATGACCAGAGCTGAAGCTTCTTTCCAAAACCGTCAAATTTCTAGTGGTAGACTTATCGAAGTGGCGGTATCATGAACTGTTTACTGATGGATATAAATGGTTGGCGGTATCATGAACTGTTTTGTGACGGATATAAATGGTTGGCGGTATCATGAATCAGGAGTGATGGAGAAGCTTACCTTCGCCATCGAGGAAACAGAGGGATTCGGTCAGGAGTGATTGAGAAGCTTACCTTCGCCATCGAGGAAACAGAGGGATTCGGTGAGGTGTGATCACGTCATACGTAACAACCTAATTCAGTTCAGCTCCGAGAACTACAACAATTTTAACTCCCATGCCAATTTGCACAGAGCAGCCATCACTTCAAATGTCTGCCTTCGCGTTATTCTGGGACAACATTTACCAATGGTTGCATTATTTACTGGAGATTTTACAATTTTGCTGCGCTGAACAACAAATTCTATTTCTTTTGTCATGTTCAAGCTAATTTTTTTCTTTGTGAATGATCGGCTGGGCTAAACATTCATATTTCAAGTGTTTAGACAAAGTGGAAGTGTTGGCTCAAAACTGAGATTTTCTGTATTTATATACTATTAATATCAATGGTCGACATGATGGCTGGAACGTGTGTGCTCAAGCTGTGGCTATGTCCACCGGAGAAATGGTGGCGTATTAAAAATAAATTTGTGCAGTGTCATGCCAAACTGTGTTGAACCTGTTATTGCAAGTTTCAGGAGTGTATGTATAAAAGTTTTTTTTCCAAGTTAATTTTTGCTAGAGAATTGTTCTGCAAAAGTGGCAAATGTCAACCATGTTTCCATGTCTTGACAAAGCTATTTTTATTCTGGCAACTCCATGCCACTCTTGCGTGTGACAAGACTAATGAACTGAACTTTATTTCCATGTAATTTTTTTTGTAATTAAGCAGCAGGAATATGTCTTGCCATACCAAACTTACATTTTGATTCGTGGTAATATATGCAATTGACTTTTCTAGCAATACTAAGGAATTACAAGACTTCAGCGCTGCTAAACAAGTCTCGATCTACTGGTGGAGCAATCCGACACATTTTCTCCAGCTTGCACTACTTTATTTTCTCCAGTCTTTCACCCCATCCCTCTCCTCTCTTCTCCCCCTCCATCCTCTCTATTCCTCTACCTCTCGCTTCTCTTCCTCTTCACCCCCACCCCTCTCTTCTCCCCCTCCATCCTCTCAATTCCTTAACCTCTCACCTCTCTTCTTCCAGTAAAATATAAATTGTTTAGAGTGTTTGTTGAAATATTTTAACGCTATTCATTGCAAGCCTTAGTTTAATCATTTATAGCTTAATATTTGACTTTATTCCGACTGATAACAAATCAGGAACTACGTGTTAGCAGCTCGGGACCTGTTATGTGTGCGCACTTTTACAAATGAATATCCCAATGATTAGTTGATTAGTAAAAGATTTCCTATTATATATAGGAAATACGTATATTGTGTTATATATATTGTGTTGGCTAATTCTGTACCCATAATTTGATGTGACATGGAGGTTGTCTGAACATGTGTCATTTCAATTCTATTTATTCGTTTACTAATAAATATGTGGGAATCTGTTTATTGCAACAATATCTGTGTTCTGTGAGTGATGTGTTGTTTTAAACGTATGTTCCTAATGATATCTATGCATTGGCCTCACATATTTGCTATATATTTTGCATGTTTCTATCCAGTCTATCGGTTTCTCGCACTCTGAGTTATCTGTTCATTGCTTGTTAAAAGAATTTTCTTTCTGAGAGAATTACTTGACTTACTAATCTAATTTCCCTTAAATATCTTTCGGTAATTACATCAGGATATTTGAATGCCACAAATATTGCTACGCCATGGCGAGAACCTGTCGCTCCAGCCAAGATTGCGATTATAAATTATCATGGAGAAAAAACTTACGGCATCGTTCGGCTAGTGACAGTACCTTTAGCTTTCACGACTTTAGATATGAAAATTATTGGCATTTGTCAGATATACCAATAAACAAAGGGTTATATAAGAATATTTTCAGATGCCGAGTGCTGTAAATAAAAGGATAGACTTCGCTACACTAATCACTTTCCACTAGTTATTGTGATTTTTTTTTTTGCCGTTTTGTGTGACAATGAATGAGCCAAATTTGAATATCAGATTTCAGCATTGTTCAGTATAAGAAAAGACATTGTTAGAAACTGGGGGGACATATTTGCGTTGTTGTGTGCCTCTGTATGAAGCTTGTACTTCATTTATATTCCTTCGAATTTATTAAATTATTTTTATTGACTATTACTAAAGTGTTTTGGAAGGATATATGACTTGCTTCTATCGATTTATCTAAACCTATCTCCTTGTTTTAGATTAAGTTATATTTGTGAATTTTTTATTATATTTTCCTCATTGTTTAGCTTATTACAATTGTTTATCTTTTCTGGATATAATTCTTGAATAAGGTGGAGTATAAACGCTTCTAAAATTGGTTGCAGCTCAACAAAATGAACGTTTTCTCTTGGCTATGTTAAGAAAGAGCGTCACACAAACTGTGTAAGTGCCGGCAGCCCGTATGCAAATGTATAAATTGAACATAGTTAATGAATTAGCAAACATTATTCAGTGCTATGCGTGGTGGCAGTCTCGCGATCCAAGGAAGACGAGGCTCATACACGGCATCTCGGTGGCGTTAGATCATATCTCGTCTGAAAACCAAAACATCCTTTTTAGCGCATTTTCTCATTTATGGAGAAAATGCACTATTGTGCGCTCGCCAGCCCGTCTGTCTGTCCGTCTGTCCGTGACCTCAAGTTTTCGTCGACGAGAAAATGCGCTCTCTGTCACTCACTACAGTGAGTACTGAGTTACATTTTTTTTCTTGGTAAATCTTCTATTACGCGTTACTCAATGATGCTCTCAAGCGTAAAAATTTCTCTCTTAATGAAGACAGAGCTGCAACAATTTGTACATGGTTTCAAAGCCTTGACACAATACACATGTAACAATCCAGTTATTATGATGCCCGTCAGTTCACCGTTTAGTTGCGCCGAGATTCAAGTGCTCCGAATTCGAGTGAAATGAACTCGTTTAAGTTCATCTAGATCGCGTAGGCTTGAAGCTTCTCACTTGCAATGAATAGCAAAGTTAGGCCGGACCATTTTACAATTGTGTATTGCTGTGGCTTATTTTGCATGTCCATGCAGACGTCTATTTCTTTAGTTTGTTAGTCCGGCGTGGATGTGCTTATATATTTTGCAATTTGTTATACCTGGTTAATATTCAGTGACATATCTCTCTCGTATGCGCCTAACATTTAAATAAATGTTCTGACAGGAATTATATGGTGGTTACTAATTTCTACTGCCAAAAATCATAAAAAATTAAAAACTTCTTCGAGCGACTCGGTCGTGACGTTGCCGCCAGGCCTGTACTGCTTATCTTAACAATATTTTATGTAGAATTTTGACCTGGATACATTTTGTCTTGCATTTGTACATGTCTTTCTGTTAGTACGCTCCAAAGATGATATATAAATTTTTATTTTATGAATTATGTAGCATGAATGAAAAATGAAGGTGTAGGTGATGGTCGTGGCGCCTCGTGACCAGCACGCAACCATTCAGCGTCTGCCACGCGTTGTATATATAACTACATTTATTAGTGTAGTTAGGCAGAAGTTCTTCATTTATACAGGTTTGGTTGAAGACCAGAGCGTACTTTTTATTTACGATTTTCTTATTGTTCTTTTCGATAAGCCGAACGAAATTTCTAGCTGGAGCTTCTCTGATATTTGAAATTTCTTTGTCAATCGTTCTGTTTGCATACCCGTTGTTGACAAGAATTTGTTTGCAGGTCCGGAGTTCAGTTTTTAAGTCACGAGCGGATGTATAGGTCTTGAACGCTCGATGGATGAGAGCACGTATGGTGCTGATTTTGTAGCGTTGGGGACATTCGCTTTCTTGGTTCAGGACTTTTCCGACGTCTGTAGGTTTCCACTGCAATAAAATGTCATTCGGTAATCTACTTTTTGATCTCCAAGCTCCAGCTAGAAATTTCGTTCGGCTTATCGAAAAGAACAATAAGAAAATCGTAAATAAAAAGTACGCTCTGGTCTTCAACCAAACCTGTATAACTACATTTGTGAATATATTGTTATCAAGTCGGCGTGTCTCATTCTACCTTCTAAATGTCTGTTATACTTCAGTAAAATGGCATACATTTTTATTTAAGAAAAATCAACGAGTGTTTCGTCCAAATTATGTGCCTTCGTTCTTCAAGAAATGTGGTCACAACACCTCATCTTCCTTCAGTATCAACAGGTCACAGCTTGCGTAAGTTCAAATAGATTTATGGCTCCGAACTGCCACCTAAATTATTCACAATCCATGGCATGCTGAGCTGGGCACCTTCATGCAACATACAGGGTGCATTATGAAAGTAATGAGCATTTACCCGGAAAATAACATTTATTGTTCGTAATTTGTACAAATGTTCAATATTCTTCAAAATACATTACTCCTGCATCACTACACTTACGGAGACGTGTTTGCCGCGCTTGAAAGGCACCCTAAAACTCCTCGACTGGAATGCCTCTCATGAACGTTGCAACATGGTGTTGGATGTTTTCCACGGTTTCCCAATAGTTTCCTTTAATCTTTCTCTTGAGTCGCGGAAACAAAAAGAAGTCACATGGAGCTCAACCGGGACTGTAAAGGGGTGAGGGATCATCGGGGTGTTGCTCTGGGTCAGGAAGTTGGTAATGATGAAAACTGTGTGGCTGGTAGCATTGTCATGGTGGAGCTTAGTATAGTAAAGTAGTATAGTATCTTCGGCATTGAAGAATTGGCCTGTCGCCGATTCTGATACTTTTCTTGACTTGACTGGCCTTTAGATCAAATATTTTCAACAGACGGTTGACTGTGTCTTTAATGTCAGCCTTCGCGCGCGCGATTCTGCGTTTCAATCTACATAGCAGCGCTACATTTCAATCTACTTAGAGCTGGGCAACGCAACTTTGAAATGTAGCGGCCGCTACCGCTGCCGCTACAGTAAAATGTAGCGCCGCTACATTAGCGCTACAATGGCCAAAATTATTGAAAATCTCTAAATATTTTTTGTTCTGCTATTGGAATTTACTCATAAACATTTAATGATAATAAAACATTTTCAAAACATATCAATGCAACTTTATTGCAATTAACCTAACCGAACTAGTACGGGTTAGATACAGTAAATAAAAGTTACAGTTATTTTTATGTTTTACCTTCCCTACATGGATGTCTACTTTAATCTAATAATCTCAAAAATTATCCACATATACATATAAAAATTAGTCTTTTATTTGTATATATATGTGGATTATTTTTGTATTGTGTGGATTATTTTTATTTTTGTATTGTATTTTGTATATGTGTGGATTGGTAGATTAAAGTAGACATCCATGTAGGGAAGGTGAAACATAAAAAGGACAGCCTAACCCAGTGGTGGCCCAGTGGTTAAAGTTCAGAGTACCAAGATTGGCGCAGAGAGGCGCGGGTTCGATCCCAGCTCTGTGCGCCAGTTTCTGGTCAGAATCGGCAAGGAGGCCGGGCGGTTAAGCACAGCAGAATTGTAGCAGTGAGTTGCGAGTTCGAGACCGCAAAATGCTGTGAATGTTCTGCGATGTTAAGAATCGGCGACAGGCCTACGGCCTAATAACGCTGAAACCGCTATAACCATTCCCTCCATAACCTTGCCGACTAAACTAGTGAGACTAACTGGCCTATAATTACCAGGATTTGCTTTATCTCCGTTCTTAAACAAGGGTGTGACCTGAGCGTCCCTCCAATCATCTGGAATAACTCCCTCTTGTAGTGACTTTTCAAAAATCATAGATAACGGAGCCGAAAGTTCCCGAACCAACTCCCTCAAAACTCGAGGATGAAGTCCATCCGGTCCCGGTGACTTATTTGGATTAAGTGCTTCTAGTCTCCTGGCCACATCTGCTCTGTCGATCACCACATCAGTCAGATAAGAATCAAAATGCCCTGCCTCACAAGAAGGTATGCATGATAAGTCTTCGGCAAAAAACACACTGCTAAAAAATTTATTAAGAACATTTGCTTTCTCATCATCAGATGAAACCTTACGACCCTTATCACAAAGGTCGGCAACACTATCCTTTGTTTTCATCTTAGACCTCGTGTAGGCAAAAAAAACATTTCGGGTTCTTCTTAGCATCCGCTGCCACTTTTTTCTCGTGGTCCCTTACTGCGTTTCTACATGCCTTTTTGGCCTGATTACGAGCCCTTGTGTAAAGTAAATAATCCTTTCCATCACGTGTTCCATGTATTTACTGTATGCCTGTTTCTTTCTCTTGATTTTTGCTGCTACGCTGTCTTGAATCCAAGGCACTTTCTTCTTTGCATGACCTGTCCCCAACTTGGGTATGCACTGCTCCATAGCCTCCAAGACCCCACTCTTCACTGCACTCCATGCCTGACATACATTCATGTCCTTCATCCTGTGTTCCAGGTTTTTAATTCCAAACGCCCTCCGAAGCGCCTCATAGTCTCCCCTTGCAAAATTTCAACGCTCAACACTGCTCTTCTTCTGATCTGTGTAACATTTAACCCCAAACAGCAGTGACTGATGAGTGATGATGACTCTTGCCCAGCGGCCAGCGGTGCCTGATGTCTGACGTCTATATATGATATAGTTGATGCTGAAGGAATAGTTTTCTGTTAGAAAATTTTCCATTCTCTTGAAGAAGTAGAGGGTTAACTATGCAATATTTTCATACGTCATAGCCTAGGGGCCTAATATTGGAAATATTATTCTAAGCTAACCATTGATGTTTCGTGCTGCGATTGCGACATCTTCAAAAGTGTTCCGGTATTAGAGAAAATAAGATGCCTTCATTGAAGTCAGCCTACAGCCTGTAATCAATCTTACGAATGAATTATACAGGATAAACTTTGTGCAATGGGGAACTGACCGAACTGTCAATACACAGTTTGGAAATTTTATGAACTACACTAGGACTGCTGCTCACATTTAGCCTTCCACTTTAGCCGACGGAAAATATCAATATGATGGTTCTATCTTCTCATTCTGAATAGATATTCAAATTTATTTATGCTGCGAATGTGAATGAATTTATTTATCTTCAATGTGTGCAACAGACAACAGTGCAACCAGAAGGGTACGTACATCTGGAAGTATGTGATTGACCAGTAAAAGACATTGTGCAAGAGATTTTTTCAAGTACTTTTGTGAGGAATCGAAGCGGGACAGATATCTTTCAGGATGAATAGGAAGATGAAGTAATCATTATATTGATATTTTCTGTGAAGGTTGATTTGCGAGACACAAATCCTGTTGTTGGCCATGTTTTTCTGGGTTAATTTCAAGCAGTAAACAACATTTCTGTGGAATTCTCT